ATAGGCACAAACAACCTCGTTTCAATGCAATGACCCCCCTCCCCCACGCCTCTGTCCACACAGCAGTAGAAATGGTCACATCCCAGATAATAGATTGGCAGGTCAAGTGTTTTTTTGTTAAATACTTTAAAACAACACGTAGGATTTGCTGTAGAATTACAAAATACCTGACCGTTTTTCCCCTTTTATACCAAGCCAAAAATGATTGCACAGGAGTGCCAGTGATTTCGCTTAATAAGGCAAAAATATTTCTACGACTCCTTTCAAACATCCTTTTTGCGAATCGCACACAGTATGTCCACAATACAACACAGTCGTTCAGCAGGCCGCCTGCGGTGGGTTACAGTGTGGGTATCCCCAACTCTTCAAAGTCGTCTGGCCAGCGTGGAAGTGTAGGCCGACAATGCCCTGTAGAGCAGGGGTCCCCAACCCCCGGGCCACGGACCGGTACCGGTCCGTGTCCTGTTAGGAACCGGGCCGCACAGCAGAAGGAGGTGAGAGCGGTGAGTCCGCGCGTGGCCCGCACCATTATTTTATTATTCACCACTTCCATCCGCGCCTCTTTCCCGCACCGCGCATTTGTCTCAGTCACGGTGTTGGTAAGCCCACAAGCTCTAACCCCTAGTAGCCACAATGAGTAAAAAAACAAACGTCGCTGGAGAGCTTCTTTGAAAAGGGTGAACGACCCAATGATGAACCCCCCCCCCCCGGTCCGTGAAAAAATGTCTTCCACGAGACCAGTACCTGGTGCCAATAAGGTTGTGGACCGCTGCTCTAGACGATGGAAGCTTCTCGAGATTTCCCTCTCGCGATGGGCCCTTCCGCCAGCAGTGGCGTGAGCAAGACATTGCGGCTTTGCGCCTTCACATTTCGCGGGCCACAATCGCGGTACGGAATTAATTGTGGGAAAAAGCAGCGAAGATCTGCGAGCATCTAAGTGGACCGCAAGTGATCAGATCACACAATTGACTGCAAGTTACACATCTGTCAGGCCTGGATGATTGACTGCACAAATAAAATAAAAAATATTTTGAGCGCGATGCCAACGACTGGACCTTGATGCGAAATTAAACGGGGCATCTCTATTCTGGGCGCAAGCGCTGTCGTCACTGGATCACGAGTTCCACACACAGTAGGTCACTGATGCATCCCACGTGTGAAAGTTGCGAGAAATGTACAAACTGAACACACTGTCATTTTCGCAAATGCTGTACAATGAGAAAAGTGAGTCCGCTTTCAGGTCTCCAGCACAAAAGCCATTCCACGTGAAATATATTCAGTTTTTTTGTTCTTTGTTTTGGGGGAAAAGGAATTTCCTGTCGAAATATTGAGATGAAAAAGTCGAGTTTTTTTAAGCATACTTTTTTGTGCTGAGCTCAAAAGTTGTTTTGTCTTTTATGCGTGGCCATCTGTGTTGAACGTCATCAACATCAGCCGTGATCTATCCACTGCTAGATGAAGGACCCCCTCAACTTCATTGGCATCCATTGCGATGCTCGCATTGATGCAATCCATATCACTCCCGATCTCACCTCTCCATCTGCACGGTTGTGCATGCCCTATTTCGTGGGCTGCCATTCAGTCATCAGTCTCGTCTATGGGTTATCGTTCCTTCTGGCCAAGTGCCCTGACCACAGCGTGTATCCAAACAATCACGTCAGAAAACATACGGGTGCACAGATGCTAGCGCCAAGGCCGTAATTATTATATAAATTGGGGGGGGGGACACATCCCCCCCCAATATTCAAATATGTTCAAAATGCCCCCCCCCCTCCCAATATATTGCTATAAAAATATAAAAAGGTAATCATAATTGCTATGCTATGTAAATAAAAATAACAATTTGCTAAACCTTGGCCACAATATCTTGGCTTGTCTTCATATAAATCAATGCATAGATTGCTGTTTATATGATTGTCGTTATGGTTGTACTTTATTAATCCCTAATCCCAAACATTACATGCAATGAAACAAGAAATGGTAAGAAAAGTAAAAACAGAGCAATGCAATACAATACACTATTAGACATTATTGTAAAAAATAAAATCCATCCCATGTTCTTATTCTTTGGTTCTTTCGGTTAAGTCACGTCTAAAGATAAAATAATAAATTAAAATAAAAGCATATTACGACGTTTCGATTGCAACACAAGCAATCATCATCAGGCAAAAAAAGAAATAGCAACAAAAAATCTAACTAGAAAACTATAGACAGACATACAAGCAGACAGACATCACACGGACACACAGAGAGAGGACACATATCGGCACAAAGAGAGGGGTCGTTTCTGTGACGGTCCCTTAAATATAGAGAGGGGGGCAGGGACGGAGAGAGGGACGGAGAGAGGGACCGTCACAGAAACGACCCCTCTCTTTGTGCCGATATGTGTCCTCTCTCTGTGTGTCCGTGTGATGTCTGTCTGCTTGTATGTCTGTCTATAGTTTTCTAGTTAGATTTTTGTTGCTTTTTCTTTTTTTGCCTGATGATGATTGCTTGTGTTGCAATCGAAACGTCGTAATATGCTTTTATTTTAATTTATTATTTTATCTTTAGACGTGACTTAACCGAAAGAACCAAAGAATAATTCCTGCAGTCACGAAAGCTCCATAATTAAGATCCATCCCATGTGTTAGTATTTTTTTAATATTTAATGCAGGAAATTAGTTTTCAAATTTAGATTTTTTTTTCTGGGTTTGGACTCCCAGACCCCCTGGAAGATTTGGTCCCCCCCAATGTTGACTCCATGGCTACGGCCTTGGCTAGCGCCCACACAACAAACTTTTACTACGAAATAATCTGTTTGCCATGTAACTATAATTTCTAAAAGGAAAATAACCAATATGCTAGATGATGTTCAGAAATTATGAACGCATGGACAGGTTAAGCGAGCAGCGGAAACCCGCGGGACGTGGAGGGGAGCTTCGTTACCTTGAACCTGTCTAAGGACAGAGCAATAATCAATTATTTCAAGAGATAAATTTATATTTAAAGTTATTAAAATATATATATGAAGTGCAATAGACCACCAAGAGGTTTCAGAGCACTATGCAGTATAACAAAACTAGTTTTTAGAACAGTAAAAACCCAATTTCTCCATAATACGTTTAGACATCTTATGAACTAAGAAACTTTTTTAATTACTACTATAATGAGCCAAGAATTCTGCTCGTGTGTCATTAATATTCATGAGCCGGTGGAGATTTTTACACTCACGCAGAAGAAGATCGAGTGGAATTTTTTTTTCCCGCATATTCGCTTTAAGTTTTACGTCTCGTTATTGAAAGTGAATCTAATACATAATTCTACGCAGCAACAAAGTGGATTTGGTGTCTTTATTCATTTATTCAGCACTTGAGACAAAAGGTAAGTCTAATTGATGCTTCTACATTATGATAAAATAGACATTTCTCAGCGATTTTCCATATATTGTATCGAATTATAATTTATTTCAACCCCAGCGACCGAAAGCAGAAGAGAATAAAGTATCAGAGCAGTTAATTTAAACAAATTGAAGGTCAGTTATGTGCAGCGCTACAGTGACATGAAGTGAGGTGTTTTATGACGTTTGTTTCGTGGCAGATTCACTGCCATTAATACAGTGCTAAAGTGAACTGCAGTGAAGTGTTTGATGACATACTTTCGGGCAAGATTCACTGCCATTAAACTTACACAAGACACAATTATACTCTGGACAATTTTTTCGTAAATAGTACAGCTTCCGTCCTAGGACTGGCAAACAAGATAGTGAGATCGCTTAAATTCACGCGATCTAACCCAAAAAGCCTCTATTATGAATTATGAAATTGTCTGTTCTAAATGCCAGCTGCAACGGAGTGCACACACAAATGTGCATTTGTTGAAGCTGGCATTTGTGTGCAACCGTTTGCTGTGTACCTGCGGGAAACTCTGGTTAGCTCGGGCCCAGGTGCAAGGGTTGACCTGCCTCCCCCTGTCCAATTTCTCCCCTCTTCGTAGCCCCCCAGGCCCCCTTGGAAGATGGAGCGATGAAATCATTCATAATCAACGTTTTTGGGTTTAGATCGCGTTATTTATAAATGTGTCGTAACCCTCCACCACCCGACACGGCCAATCAGTAAAAAAAAAGTGTCACGTTGACAAAAGACAAATAGTTCACTGCTTTAACCCCACCGGTGTGTTGAAGCGTGAAACCACAACACACCGGTGGGCTAAAGCAGTGAACTATTTGTCTTTTGTCAACGTGACACTTTTTTTTTACTGATTGGCCGTGTCGGGTGGTAGAGGGTTACGACACATTTATAAATAACGCGATCTAAACCCAAAAACGTTGATTATGAATAATATTGGTCGCTAAAGCCTACGTGTGTTAAGCGATGAAATCAGTTCGTGTGCAGGTGCGAGGCGGATTATTGACATTGCCGGTTTAGAGACTCGGGGAAGCTTTCGCCCGGCGCTCGATTGACCCGCGGGCTGATGATGACGATGATGAAAACAACAAAAATTATAATTCTCGCCTCCGATTCGCACGGTTGTTGACGCACGGTTGCGAAAGAAGTTCAACGCACACGCTGCACGTGGGATTGGCGAGCGCGCTCATTTTGGTGATTTCGAAAGTGCATTGGTTTGCCCATGTTTGTTTGTTGTAGTACAGAGTTAGACTGATGGCCTTAATCTAAGCTGTCTTGTGGTTGTTGTTGTTGTTGTTTGACTTTCATCCCACTGGGATTTTTGCACACAGCGTTGGTGTACGGTGTTTTTTTCTGCAATATTTTGCTGTCTTTTCTTGGATTTTCTGTTTGCACTTAGTCACATAGTCACTTTAAGATGTTTTTTTGTTCATGTTTTTTGTTTGTTGCGGTTGCACCCGATTCAAGAGCCGAATGGCTCACAGGGCTACTACTAATAAATAAACTTGAGCGTGACCGTGCACAGGTATCCGCGAGTATCCTCACGGCTCCCCCCCCAACACCCCTTCACCACCACCACCACGGTTGTTGCGTTCTGTCCCCACGCCCGGCTAGGCATGACGGCGCTCATCACGGTCTGCGTGCTCGCCGTGGAGCGCTACGTGGTGGTCTGCAAGCCGCTCGGCAGTGTGCACTTTGGCACGCAGCACGGCCTCTGCGGAGTGGCCATCTCGTGGGCTTGGGCCCTTGCGTGGAGCATGCCGCCTCTCTTCGGCTGGGGCCGCTACCACTACGAGGGCGTGGGCACGTCCTGCGCGCCCGACTGGGCTGACAGCAGCCCGTCGGGACGCAGCTACATGACCGCGTACTTCATCTTCTGCTTCGCGCTGCCCATGATCATCATACTGTTCTGCTACACCAAGCTGATGATCTCCATACACAAGGTTGTGCTCGCAATTGCGCGCAGACGCTCGTTCGGCCGGCGGTTGTGAATTGTTGTTTTGGGGGGGGTTATTAAATTGGTTTGTGCTTGTTAAAGTGATTTCAAGTAAGGTTGAAAGTGTGAATGCGTTGGCTCCGTCCGTCATCTGAAAACCGGCCAAATTGATCGGTTGCCCAGCTTGGTGACATGAACCAGAGCATGAAGGTTTTCTTTATAATGCAAATATGAAAATGATTTTTTTTACGTTAGTGGAAAAGCTGAAAGCGTTACATGTTGTGTCAATGTCCCAGTGTGTGATATATCATTGCTGATCAGTGCCGCAGTGTCTGATTGTAGAATTGCTGGTCAATGTCCCATTGTCTGATTATATCAGTGTCAATGCCCCAGTGTCTGATTATATCATTGCTGGTCGATGGTCGTGCGCAGGTCTCAAAGCTTGGCTTGAGTGCCAATGACACAGCCGAGAGGAAGGTCGGAGTCATGGTGGTCGTGATGATATTTGCCTTCTTCCTCTGCTGGCTGCCTTACGCTGCACTGGCCATTGCTGTTGTCATCAAGCCGGACCTGAAGGTTTGTGGCCTTTTCTTCTTTAACAGCTTTCGTCCTCACATTTGACTTGCCGCATTCCGCTCAAGCACCCAAGCGATGAAACCGATTTCTGTATCAGTGGGCTCACATGACCGAATTGGTGAGAATGCACCTGGACTTGTCAGATCTTTCATAGTAAGCAGGTTTGAACTTCGAGTTCATTTCAAGTTCAAGTTCATTTTTTAAGTATAGCCCTGTGAGCCATTCGGCTCTTGAATCAGGTGCAACCGCAACAAACAAAAAACATGAACAAAAAACATCTTAAAGTGAATATGTGACTAAGTCCAAACAGAAAATCTAAGAAAAGACAGCAAAATATTGCATAAAAAAACACCGTACACCAACGCTGTGTGCAAAAATCCCAGTGGGATGCAAGTCAAACAACAACAACAACAACCATAATACAACTTAGATTAAGGCCATCAGTCTAACTCTGTACTACAACAAACAAACATGGCTAATGCTTGGATGGGTGACCACAATGCATGCTAGGTTGCCATAAGCGGCTGTGGTGCTAAGGTACGGGGTGGACGGTGCAGAATAATGTGTATTTGTAATGTGACTCGATGCTACCAGGTCTTTACACCCCGGGGTCAGAAGCGCACACTGACTTCGTGGTGAAATATGATCAAATAACCACTGCGAACCACATGGCATAAGGAGGCCATCATCCAGCAGTGGATTTGCCAGGGCAGCAACACGGCTGAGCAGAATAATGTTTGGCTCTTGTTGCAAAGGTTCGTAGTACGAGCCTAGTGGCCACCCTGGTTAATACTCTGGGTGTATTGACCAAATAAATACGAGCTGTATGTTGCACAGCGGGTGTTCGAGGTCATGTGACGATATGCGAAAACTATTAGCCGTGTGTGCCCTCATCATGGCCCAAGTTTGGCAAGTTTAAAAACATTATTCACAAATTTCCTAATAATTTGAATCAGATGCAGTTCCTACTAATTCCGATTGTGTTTTGTGAACCATTCAGGTGCCCCCTGTCACCGCCTCTATTCCGGTTTACATGGCCAAGTCGAGTGGTGCTTACAACCCCATCATATACATCTTCATGCACAGACAGGTAAACCACATAGTCACTTGAAATTGTAATCATCGAAAAGAGCCGTTGCTAGCGCACACTGCAATCACATGTTACACAAATAGCGGAGGTAGCGATGGCAAATCCTGTTAGCAAGCTGACAAGCCACTCTACTGAAGGGGCCTTCATCCTTTAGTCTATGTCACTGCACAGAGAAATGTGCGAGCTGACAAAATGCCAACGGCCATTCAAGTGCAATGGTGGAGCCAGGATTTTCAGGTAGGGTGGGCAACCCCTCCAGCTATGAAAAATGATAGAGGAGTTGTTGGTAAGTAAGGAATTGTCCCTTGCTTTTTATTCGACGCGCGTGCGGCGATGGCGCAGCCATCGATCGAGGGTCGAATTCGAACCGTGTGTGATCAGCATCGCGCTCGCTGAAGGTGTTTGCCTTCAGGGAAGTCGTGTCATGTATACACAACTGCGCACAATTCTGAGTCACTTATAACCGCTTTGCCGTTACTTATTGCCAATTATGGACTCAGACTATTGTCCTATCATCTCATAGAGTCCCTGGCACGTAATAATATGCTACACAGTGGCAGTGGGGGTCGCAAAATGCCGATTTATTACTAATAAACCCCAATGATCCAATCGAAATTAGGGATTTCGATCGGATCATTGGGGGGTCACGTGCCACCCCCCCCCCCCCCCCCCCCCCACTGGCTTCGCCAGTGTTCAAGTGAATGTACATCTTAAGTACCTGCACCTACACTCATGCACTGATGTTTTAACATGCATGCTCCAATTATGCGCTGTTCACAGCATCGTGTTTGTAATTTTGAAAAAAACTTGTTCGTAAGAATTTTGCGGTCAATGTCGCCCATAACGATACAAAACTGCCTAATGCTGTTATATTGCTAAGATGCCCAGTTTGTCTGAAAGCGAATGATTTAGGGGTTCTGTAGTTTACGTGAAAGAATGTGAATATGACGTGGGAGGAGCTCCATAATATTTCCTTAAAGTACCGCAGTGTCTCAACTGTGACGTGTGTTTGCGACCTGTGTTTTATCGACAAAGTTGGGAGTCTGGCTTGTAATCCTGAGAATGAATAATCTTCCCGTGAACATGTTTTATCCTGATCGGTCAGAATAATCTTCCAGAAGACATGCCCCCCCTCCCCATTTTAAAGCAGCGCCTTCATCATTAATTGACACGTGGCTCTCCATTGAACTCTATTCTCCCGATTATAAAACACACTTTTTTCCCCCATGCTCATTCTATATCTTGTAACACTATATTTTACACCCTTGTTTCCCACTTTCCCAGGGCTACATATCTTCTAGAATATTCTTTTTTTCAAAATGACCCCCAAAGCTAATGGAATGTACAATATCGTTTTATATATTTGTAGACAATAGAATCTTTCTTAAATTTGCTTTTACCCACAATTCTCACAATTCTCCACAACAACGCATCATGAGTTTGAGTACAGTTTATTTTTATCCTTTAACCAGGTCCCATCATTTACATGGAGTGAGCTTGCCGATAACACCTGGTTATACGCTGCAATATTTTAACAGGCCTGACTGCTTAAGAGATTAAGAGACTCAGAAGGCTGCTGCTTGGAAATATTGTTCTGGGAAGTCAAAAGGCCGATGGACTATAAAAAATTAAAATATATGGAGAGACGGCATGGAAGTTAAATATTCTATTTACTTTCACCCAAAGTTTGGGGTGCATCTGACTCACCGAATCATATTAAAATCCAGACAATGCGGTAACAATAAGCGGCTTATGAGCTTATTTATATGGTTAATTGATGATTGGTTAAATTTCGATTTAAAGCTTTCGTGACTGCAGAGATTCATCTTCTTGGTTCTTTCGGTAAAGTCACGTAGAAGGGAAGTAATAAAATAATAAAAATAAAACATAATAAAATAATTATCACGACGTTTCGGCCACAACGCAAGCAGCCGTGGTTTCACCTGAGGACGGCTGCTTGTGTTGTGGCCGAAACGTCGTGAGAATTATTTTATTATGTTTTATTTTTATTATTTCATTACTTCCCTTCTACGTGACTTTACCGAAAGAACCAAGAAGATGATGATTGGTTGTTAAAGTGCTGCCTTATTCGCATTGACGCGGGTGTTTGTGTTCTTGTGTGCTTCAGTTCCGGGAGCACATCTCGCGCATGTTTTGTGACCATCGTAATCAAAGCAGCCGAATAAAACCCGAAGAGAACACGATGCAGAGGCTACAGCCCGCTTAAAGTCACCGGGATCACTCGGGATGGATGAAGAAATCGTTGTAAGCCAAGGTTCAACGTTAACAACACACCCCCCGCATACACTGAGATTCAGATATACACCACTCGATTTGAAGCTTTCGTGCCTACAGGAATCCATACTCTCTGTTTTTTTCGGTAAAGTCACGTAGATAGAAAAAAGTATTGAATAAAAGAAAACACTATTCTATTATTGTTGCTTCTATCGATGTGACTTTACCGAAAGAACCAGAGAGTAGAAACACTGCTCTCTGTCAATCCATTGCCGGGTGCATGCCTCCCTCAAACTCACTCGGTCATGATTCTGTGTGACCGCTCATATTGTCCCCACTGTTGTTCGACCCTGCGTCATCTCGCCGTGGTGAGTGTGGGTTGACGAAGAGGGAGGAACCTAGGGCGAGTTCGGATATCACTCGCCAGGGAAACAAACTCAGGTTGGCGGGTTCATAGCGCGGTGCGCTAATCACTGCGCCACCACTCCTCTCCATAGACGAAGTATTGTAAAGTACAGCCGCTATCATCTGGATTATATTCGATGTTTGCATGCTGAACTTCTTTTGCATCGTACGTAGCCAACCGTGCTAATTGGAGATGTATTAATACACTGCGTAACAAAACGTGAATGTCCACCTTTGTCACGAATTGCAGATATGCAATCAGATTGTGTCTTTGTGACATGTTTAGATTTTTTTGCGATTGGCTTTGGAGCGCATGATTTTTGTCCACTTTGTTTTTTGCCAGAAAGAAAATTTTTCTCAGTGATGTTGAAAAATAACAGTTGTGTTTTTTTGTCTACATTTCTACTGTAATATGAACACCTCCAAGCGCATCAATCACGACACCTTCTTGTGCAGTTTATGACATTTCATTAGCAAGCCTTGTGCATGTTGTGAGAAAATTATCATTTCACTTGAGATCACTTAATAATCAGTGTTTCATCGTCATGTGCTTGTGAGATTGTTATTATCTTTCACTATATGCAGTGAGTGGTGATGGCGTCTCTGCCAGTGATTGCAAAATAACCGTTAAATTGTGTTACATTATTGATATGTAGAAGTAGCCTGTGCTATTTTCCTCAATAAAGTGTTCGATCTATTTGGCGTCTCTCTGTATATATAAAGTGTATACCTAGATATTACTGTAGTGAGTGACTTGAAATTGTTTATTTTGTAAACACAACGCTAAACATATCTAGTTGTTCATAATAAAGGTTTTTGGGTTAGATCGCGTTATTTATAAATGTGTCGTAACCCTCCACCACCCGACACGGCCAAAGAGTAAAAAATGTGTCACGTTTACAAGGGACAAATAGTTCACTACTTTAGCCCACCGGTGAGTTGAAGAGTGAATCAACATCATTTAAAATTTGAGTACGACGTTTCGCTAGTAATTGCATCCAGCTTCATCGGGCAATTTGCCAGAATGGTGATGCTCTCCTCTTGATCCCGGTCTTAAATAGAGCAGCAGCAGGGTGACGTAAAAAATGTACTGTGGCACAATATTGATTTATTTTCAGGTAGGACAAATGCGGGGCTTAATTTCTCGGTAAATTTGTGAAAACGCTGCTAGGCTTAGCTTGGAGTGGGCTGGTACTACCACTGTCACTATTGTACAGCGAATTCATAATAACCCTAAACAGTCCTGTATTATTCTACCATATATCTTATACGCCTATAAAGATGATGTTGATAACAATTACAAGGACAGAAATAAGGCAAGATGTGTGGCAAAAAAATGCTGGCACAAGGTTCTTGGACTGTTCCGAATTTAGTGCTGGCTAAATTTATCGAGATTCATTGCAAATCTGGCTGTCGCCTGATGAAGCTAGTTGTAATTACTGGCGAAACGTCGTACTCAGATCGTAAATGTTGTGGCTTGGTTCTCCAACACACCGGTGTGCTGTGCTAGTGACGAATTGGCACGTTCTGTTTACGTGACAAACCTTACTAGTTGGCTGTGTCGTTTGGTGGCGGGTTTTAACGACACATTTATATATTTACGCATTCTAACCCAAAAAAATCCTCTATTATGGATGATATTGGTCGCGAAAGCCTACGTGTTCAATAACTGTGATCTTTGGACAACGTGTATTTTATGTTTCTCATTAAACACAGCTTGAAATGTGGAGTACGTGTGACTACAAACGATTGCTGTCACAATTGACTTGTACGAGGGCCCTGGAAATGTGTTTTTAATTTCACCGCCTGCTTGTTGAGTTTTTAAAAATATTTGTATTAGATTTTTGCTGTACACAAGAACAAAGGGCACGCTGCAAAAATGTTGCGCAATAAAAAAAAACAGCGGCACGGGAATATCCGCCAGGACCGAGTGTCCTCGACGCGTCCTGGTTGATGATGGGGGAGGTGGGGGGGGATAGACAACACGGGGAATTGGGTAGAAGATAGACTTTTGTCTCATTTACGTAGGAAAATCGCGCGGGTTAGAACATTCGATTTTTTTTGTAACATAGGGGGAGGTGGGGGGGTGTGAGTAAAAGTGAATAGGGGGGGGGATGAAAACATGTTTTATGCTACTGGCAGGGCCGGATCATGGTTCCGTGAGGCCCCTGGGCGCATGTCTTTCGGAGCCCCCCCCCCCCCCCTATATTGGTGTCTTTCTTGCCTTCCTCCTCGCAAAATCATCCACTAGATCATCAAAATCTAGCTGTCTGACAAGGTCTGACTCTATTGACGTAAGTGACAATGAGCTGAGACGTGTTTGGCACATGCTACTCCGCGGCTCATTCTTTTATTCTGCCAGGGTGAGTGGAAAATGTCCACTCACCCTGGCAGTTTGTCACTGGCAAAGTTTGAGAAATCCGAAGTGCCACGAAAACATTGGGGAACACTGACTGCAGATGAAGTGCCTGCAACGTCTCAAGCAATTTAGTTGGCCTCTTCTCACCCTCAGAGTCAGACATGAAAGACTTGAATTGGATGAGTTCGTTGGCAAAGTTCATGTCTGATGTATATGCAGAGAGCGCATTTACCCTTTCCACTGTGACATCACTCTTAGACACATGATCTGACATAAACAGAACTCCAAAGAGACTGGTCAAACGCTTGTAACCGTCCAAGCAATGTTCAAGGCATGCCGCGAGCTTATCAATGACCACATAAAAGTGTCACACCTGGCTCTGAGCTCTCATCTGCAAATGTTTTGCGTTTCCTCTTTCGCTGAAGATCGTTGTTATATGACCGAGAGACACCTGTCACATTTAAGGCTGCCCTTTCAAAAGCCTCAAACTGGTCTCGCTGTCCCGCCACAAAATCCCTTAACGAAAACAAAAGCTGTGCTGCTACAGAGATGTCAATGCCACTTTTCTGTAGGTGCATGCTTTTAGCGTGGAACCGGTCAAGTAGGACGTCCCAGAAATGTACCATGAACACCATCTCTAAGGTGTCAAATTTAGCACATAGCCCAGCAGCCTCAATTCGATGCTCTCTTTTCTCATTAGCATCATTGCACATACCACCGAAGGCCTCTCTAATGTGGGAGTAATTTCTCCACAGTGCATTGGTTGACTCTGCCCGAGCACTCCACCGAGTACTGGACAACGATTTTAATGCCAGTCTGACATCGTTCTTCCAAAAGACTTTCCCCCATCTGTGTGTGGATGAAGAGCATAATGTGTACAGTGACTGCAACATGTTAAAACAACTCATCAGCCTCTAGGCTACTGCCGTCTAAGGTGTTAACACCAGCTAAGTTAAGTGAATGCGTTGCGCAAGGCACAAACTCTATCAGAGGGATTTTTGTTTCAGTAGCCCATTGTATTTTCCTGACATGTTGCTTGTGTAGCGTCGTAGATGGGCCGCACTTACCTGCAAAGGTGGACGGGGCCCATCTAGGGCGGTGCCTCGTACCGCCAGGGGAGGGGCTGCTGGGGGTTCAGGATCCCACACAGCTAAGCCCCTTGACGCCCCCAACGGGGGGGGGGGCTGTGGGGGATCTAGGATCCCACGCAGCCCCACCCCTCGATGGGCAAGGGGCATAAAAGGGCACCTCCCCAGCCGATCTGGACCCAGTTGAAGACCGAAGGCGAAGACCAGCTAGATAGGACCCTGAGACCCCTAGCCCTGCTGTCCTTATCAGGGCCGGGACTCTGTGCGGCTCAGTGGTGAGAGCCTGGGAAGGCCTGGCCCGACGTCCTTGTAAGGGCCGGGTCCAGTGGGTCAGTGGTCGGAACTCGCACCCTGGCTAGGGCGAGTAAGAATAGCCTCCCCCTAGGCACCCATAGCCGGAGGACCCTAAGAATAGTACTGTGTTAGGGCACGTTAGCCCGGAGGCAGTACCTCCCCAGACAGCGATGTAGGAGGACAGTAACCCTGAGTGTTCTGGGACTGCGCTGCCGAGCGAGGTGGTTTAATAAATAGTGTTGCCTCCAAGAACCGTCTCCGGCGTCTCCTAAATCCACAACACTACACTTGCATTGTCACATGACTGAGCTCTAGAGTTTGAGAGGTCCAACCCAAGGCATTCCACCATCAAAGTCACACAATTTGCTAAACTCTTACCAGTGTGGCTCTCAATTGGCTCAAAGCCCAGGAATCGCTCCACCACATTCCCGCTGCTGTTAACAAACCGGAATATGAACCTCAATTGGTCCACATGTGACAGGTCTGGGGTGGAGTCAACGATTATTGAAAAATATTTGGCATCCCGAATCTCATCTGCTATTGTTTGGCGAGTTTTCTGACCTATTAGCTCAATCAGTTCTTCATATATTGTCGATGACAAATAGGACACTGTGCCTCTTCATTTTCCGCCAATCGTTTTAATATGTTCAGCTTAGAATGGGTCAAATTGTGATAGCAATTCTAGGATGCCAAGAAAATTACCGTTATGGGTTGACCCAAACCGTTCATCATCTCCCCTCAACGCAAGTCCTCTTTCACCCAAGAACTTGATCACTGCTACAACTCTTTTCAAAATGTCCATCCAGTATTTACGTCCCCCATCAAGTTGCTGCATGAGATCTGCATCTATAGCACTGCCCTTTGTCCGCTGGTGCAAGGCAAGCATGCGTGGTCTGTGTTCTGCACTCTTTTCGTGTTCCCCTATTCTTTCAGAGTGCTTCCAGTCACTAAACCCCTGACTAAAGCCACCGAGCTTGCTGGAGAACAGTTTGCATGCAAAACAGTACACACAACCTGTTGAGGGTGAGTACAATAGCCACTGTATAGAAACCTTCTGCCCACGTGGCAATATAAAGTTCAGAAGTTAATTGTTGAAATGTCTTGTCTTTCCACCAAATGCTCTATCTCGGACTGAAAGCTGGGTATTTTTCACTGCAAGTTTTGAAGGGGACTGCTCCTCTTTCAATAAGCACTGACTTAACAATGCCACTGTAAGTGCTTTGCCATAATGCAGGGTCAGTGACCTCATAGTAACATGAATGGTTTGGTTGCTGATTTGATTCTTGTGAACTGTACAACTGCTCCTGAGGTGGAAATGATGGTTCTTATATACCATTAGCTGTTGAGGGTCCGCCTTCAAAGGATGGCTCTGGGGGAGTGACAACATTACTGGAAACTGAACTAGTGCTAATTCATTCCTCACAGCTGGCAATAGTGCTGCTATCATCATTATTATTATCAAAGGGTTTTTGAAGGAAGTTGGCAATGAGTGGAACACTTTGAAGAAAAAATTGCCTCTCCGGCCTCCTTATCTTTTTAAATCCTTTATATTAAGTTCGCTTGCTTGCGTGCTTGCTTGCTTGCTTACGACCGTGCAAATATTTCGGTCGTTTTTTAACCCACTTCCCGTGATCCAATCGAGCTGACATTTTGCACACAGACTCGTTGTGCGTGACAATTTATTTTCGTGAAATTTTTTTTCCGAAATTTTCCACTTTTTAGGTAAAAATTTTTTATATTTAATTACCAATTGCTTAATGGTGGCAGGCAATCATCTGATCCATAGGTGGCAGCCATCTCAAGCCAGAGGACGAGATGACTCTAGCCGCCCGTTTCAAAGACCAATGTGGGCTGGGTTGTGGCCCATTGAACACGCATATAAAGGATTTATAGTGAAAAACTTTGTTTTTACGGGTTAATTTTTTTGGCTTTCTCTTTGGAAGCACCACTATTCCAACGTTTGTGGTCCATATTTCAAAACCAGTATGCTATTTATATGAATATATTTATAGCATATCTCAATACTTCTAAAATAATAACTGAATTAATATATATTAATAATGACAACACACTTCAAATACTGTTGTTGGAAATTACAATCAAGTGGTAGTATTTTATAGTCTACTTGTACCTAAAGGCAGCTTTGAGTAGATAAAATACAAATAAAATAGAAAAGGCTTTTAGAAAATAGCCCTTAGGAGGGATTGTTGAAATATCCTTTAAGAAGACTGCTGTTTTAGAAAAAAATGAAAAAAGTCTCTGAATGTATTTACTGTGGCGTACCAAGCAAGAAAACAGGCATCTGTCTGTGGCTTTTCCTACCAAGAAATGTCTCATAGACCTGCCTGACACAGAGAGAATTATGTTGCTTGAAATTCAAAAGATAACTTTTTTTCATTGGCTGAACAACCAACAAAGGGTTCTGATAAGTCAGTGAAATGACTTGGTGGAGACGATGCACGTCGGCCACACCCCATCGATGGGAGGGGAAAAAAAGACCTCGTAAGAGCTGTCGACAATCTGCATGTGAACTTTAGCATTTTCTACTTCCGTGGATCTAAAAACAGACGGTCTATGGAAAAAATGAATGGGGTTTTCCTTAATCTTTAAGTATGGATGGCCAGCACCACGCCAGACCGCCTTTGTCTCCCTAGTGCTGATGTTTTTACACGCCATATTAGGTACTCATTTGAGGCTGAGTCGACCTATAGGAGGCCCAAAACCGGTTCAAACACTCATCACTGGTGTTTCGACTGCAACACAAGCAATCATCATCATCAGGTGTGAAATCCACAGCAATCATCATCAGGTGTGAAATCCACAGCAAGAAAATTTTCTTCCTGTGGATTTCACACCTGATTCATATCTGATTATGATTGCTTGTGTTGCAGTCGAAACGTCGTGAGAATTTTATTGTTTAATATTTATTTAATTTAATTATTTCCCTTCTACGTGACTTTACCGAAAGAACCAAGAATATAAATCCATACAGTCACGAAAGTGATTTGTTAACTTTCCGATTTAAAGCTTTCGTGACTGCAGGGATTCATCTTCTTGTTTTTTTCGGTAAAGTCACGTAGAAGGGAAGTAATAAAATAATAAAAATAAAACATAATAAAATAATTCTCATCATTAATTTTATTATTTTATTATGTTTTATTTTATTATTATGCTTTATTTTTATTATTTTATTACTTCCCTTCTACGTGACTTTACCGAAAAAACCAAGAAGATGATTTGTTTACATTTCCTATACTTTGCACTCCTATCGTGTTTTTTTGTATTGTGTCTATTGTTGTGAACGTTCTGACCCCCGGTAGCCCCCTACTGGAACATCTGTGACACAAAGAGCTTTACAGATCATCGGATTCCTCATCCAAGTCGATACACACGTCGAATCCAAGTCGAATCTTATTCCGAGTCACGTGGCCTTCCGTTCAGGTGACGTCACCGTCGCGCAATCATGGCGTACGTGGTCAATGGTGAGTGGGCGCTTCGCGTGTCGCTTTCAAATCGTAACATTGCGGCTTTTACTTGCCCCACCGAGTCTCAATTCATCCCCACACACACATAAGTAAGTACGTGAGCGAGTGATGGCTTCTTCGATCGTTAAAAACCTCGATTATGGACAATGATGATGTTCACCCCACCCCCTCCCCGAAGTTGTCACGGATGCGGCCTAGTGGCGTCACTCAGGCCTCGGTCTGGCCTTGTTTCTCTACCCGGGGCCCGAGGCTTTCTTGGCTTGCCGGTTAGACGGCGATGGGGGTGGGGGGGTGCTTCAATATGAATCTATGTTATCACCATCGGCAAACATGGTCATTCCACTGTTAGATGAAGGTCTCGCCAAGCCTCTTGCCGCGTCTGCTGTGTAATGATCCAGCAAGCACCTTCACAAGAGCCGATTTCATCACTCCATCTCTGAGGATGCCCTATCGATCGCGTTCCATTCCTTGGCTGTCACTCCGTTGTCGTTCTTGACCATTGGCCTTCAACCCTTCTAAGCGACGCGTCTTGACAAAGTCCACTTAGCAGAACGATGTCCTCATGTAGTCCGATCCATATAAAAAGTATGTTACTCCGACTGATGTTCCTGCTGTTGTGGAGTGACTCATGCAGCCAGCTATGGCTGCAGAGTTTTGGTGGTACATGTTGTTTATGTCGTTTATTGTGAAAATTCCGTCACAGTTCCTATGGTCACTGTTTCATTGCTTTCATGGCTTTATTTTGGTGATTTCGAAAAGTTTTTTTGGTTTGGCCATGTTTGTTTGTTGTAGTACGGAGTTAGACTGATGGCCTTAATCTAAGTTGTGGTTGTTGTTGTTTGACTTGCATCCCACTGGGATTTTTGCACACAGCGTTGGTGTACGGTGTTTTTTCTGCAATATTTTCCTGTCTTTTTTTGGATGTTTTGTTTGCACTTAGTCACATATTCACTTTAAGATGTTTTCTTGTTCATGTTTTTGTTTGTTGTGGTTGCACCCGATTCAAGAGCCGAATGGCTCACAGGGCTATACCTAATAAATAAACTTGAACTTGATGTCTCTCAATGTAAGTCCAAGCATATCCTAAAACACTTCTTGTCAAAGCCCACCTAACAGAACGATGTCCTCATGTAGTCTATTCCGCGTGTTCCTCTCCTTATGTCTCTCAATGTAAGTCCAATCATTTCCTAAAACACCTCAGAATATTTTCAGAATCGGACTGGAGGAATCCGATGAGCTATGATGAAGCTCTTTTTATCTGTCCACATGTCCAGTTGCAACACCTCTTTTAGCGCAAGTTTAAGTATTCTATTTTCGTTAATGACCAATATTAATGAAAACAAATATTTGCTAAATATATTTGTTGATGCTGTTGGCCTTGTCAGCGTTCAGGATGTAGAGGCGGCTAATATTTTTTAAAGAGCCCCGAGTAATCAATTGACAATGAAGTGGTTGATTTTCTTTTACAATGTTTTTAAAAAATCAGTCTACATAAAAGACTAATCGTCCCAGCTTACATATTATTTCTTAAATATTTGACAACACTAATTTAGTCTTTGATTTTCTTTTTTAACAAAATGTTAATACATTGTTACTGCAGTTATTTAAGTCTTTGTGAGGCGCACATTCCTCCATGCTAATGAGGAATGTAAGCACACGTATTGTGCATTACATATCCGGGATTGGTTATTGCTTACCGTTTGCAGTACGTAAACATACAGTAACTCTGTTGCGTTTTCCAGTTGCGTCCTTTCACCATTTATTTACTTTACACGTACACATGACTTTTGTTTGCTTATGTTTATTGAGCCAAACTTTGCTGCCCGCTTTATATATATCCGGTTTCACAACGACTCAACTGTTTCGATTTAAAACTTTCGTGACTGCAGGGATTCATATTATTGGTTCTTTCGGTAAAGTCACGTAGAAAGGAAATAATAAAAATCAAACAATAAAATAAATTTCTTGCTGTGGTTTTCACACCTGATGGTGATTGCTTGTGTTGCAATCGAAACGTCGTGAGAATTGTATTGCTTTATTTTTATTATTTTATTATTTCCCTTCTACGTGACTTTACCGAAAGAACCAATAATATGACTCTACTGTTATTTCTTCTGTGATAATTATTAATACCTTATCCATTTACAGTCCATGCCATTATTTTTCTCAACCAATTTTTCGCAAAACATCTTCTGAATTCACTATGAGACTAAATGACGTTAAAAAAACGTGGTAATACGCATCAGTTAATTGCTCTCTTAACAGAATAGTGCATTGTGCTCGTCTCATTGTTGTCATACTTTGTTTCCTATCCCTCTTAGGACGCGTCATGGAGAGTCGGCATCAGTCGTTGTGGCGGCTGTCGGCGATACCGGAACTGTTTTGGAGCGTCGTGAACTTCGTAGGGCTCTTGTGAGTGACAACAAGTATAATAATAGGGTTTTCCTCCTTTTTTCTGGCTATAAAACTGAAACCTTTTTACAAGGAATCATGTGTGCATTAACCATAATACTTGTGGTCAAAATGCAAACAAAAAACACACTCTGATAATATATGTATTGAATTTCGATTTAAAGCTTTCGTGACTGCAGGGATTCATCTTCTTGGTTCTTTCGGTAAAGTCACGTAGAAGGGAAATAATAAAATAATAAAAATAAATATAATAAAATACAATTCTCACGGCGTTTCGGCCACAACACAAGCAGCCGTCCTCAGATGAAGACAGAGCTGTATTCACCTGAGGACGGCTGCTTGTGTTGTGGCCAAAACGTCGTGAGAATTTTATTTTATTATGTTTTATTATTTTATTATTTCCCTTCTACGTGACTTTACCGAAAGAACCAAGAAGAGGAATATATGCATTGTCCGTTGAAACTGATTAGTCCACACCAGCCAGCTTTCTTTTGAGCCTCGACCCAATTGGTGCTAGACCAGAGGACGCCAAAAGGCGTACAGCTCTAAGACAATGCACTATCAAAGTAATGAGGGCTCAGGGTAAGCATCTATATTTTGGTACTGGCGAAGGAGGTCTAATGATGACAACAAGTAGTGCATCTCTGAGATGTATGATTACATATTTATACCCCAGTATTTGCACGGCACTTTTGATGGACATTTATTTTTGCAAGAGAAAGTTTGGAATAATGCACAATGCAGTATGGTACCGGGAAACATTTTTGTTTATGGTGTTCTCAAGAAGACTTTAATATATGCCATGCGTTGTTGAAAATTGGTGGATTGAAAGTTCAGTATGCTGTCCATTATACACCACAGTAGCTGTCATGTAATGAGTGCTGTGATGTTTTAAAAATGAGGATGGTTTTCAGCGCAAGTTGATCTTTGACTTAAATGAATATAGAAGTATTCCCTTAAATTGCTTGGAGCATACTGCAAAATACCTCATGACTATTTGGTGTTGAAACGTTAGCATGCAAGTAATTTTATCAATCTATACATCCTTTTTACACAGCTTTCAGACAATGTTCCAGCCAGATTTGACAAGAAGGGGTCGTGGATACACATCAAACTACACTCCGTCGCAGGATGGGAGAGGGTGAGTTTAAGTAACTCTACGATGAATTGGCATGCACAGGAATGCGCACATTAAGTCTTGAAATAATGTGCAATCATTTCTCCATAAATATGTTGTTGGTGGTCTGTTTGGGGTCCTCTGACACAGGAGCAGTAAGGTTAACCCCGAGTTCATATTATTGGCCGGCCGTCAGCCCAAGCCATACCTTGAGACATTTTGGGAATGCTAATGATTTTTTTTATTTTATACCTACGTGACTTTACCGAAATAACCAAAGAGTATAATTTATAAAGTTGGGATTATGTATCTGTAAGGCCTTACACACAACTCTATGGTTTCTGATTCTCATGGAAAATGTACCCATATGTAGGAGAATAGGTTTAAAGGGGCCACCATGTCAGTTTCAAGTAGTGTGTGCCACCATTGGATTCCAAACTAGTTAGTGATGGATATTCCAAAGCCTAGCCCACACCAGAAACAACACAAATGTTTTTTTAAGTAGTTTTTTCAAATATTTCCCAAAAACTATTTTGGATATGGTGCAGGGTCTGATCTTTACCCATCTGGACTACTGTAATGGTCTTCTTGGTCTCCCTACCTATGCTCTCACTCCTCTCTAATAAATTCAAAATGCTTTGGCACGGGTTGTTTTCCATCTCCGCTTTAACTCTCACACTTCTCTTCTCCCTCAACGTCACTGGCACCCCGTTTACTACCGCTGCCTTTTCAGATACCTGACGCCAGTATTTACATCTCTCCATGACCTTTCCCCACCTCATCTTGCCTCTCATTTCTTTGTGTCCTCCCTCGTCCTGTATTGTTTCACCCGAGGACGATGGCTTGTGTTGCTATCGAAACGTCATCTATTATTTTTCTACCTACGTGACTTTACCGAAAGAACCAAAGAGTATGGATTCCTGCACTAACGACAGCTTCAAATCAAGATCGACTCCCTCGTCCTCTTCGTTTCCAATCTTCTCTGACTCTGTTCTGCCTCCCTGTGGCCCAATCCTGATTTCGGTCCTCCTTGTACCCCTCCACTGGAAAAAAACCTTCCCTGTACATGAAGCAGTCACCCTCCTGAAGCTGCTTGAGTGAAGGTGCCTCATAAATAGAAAATGGCAATGGAATTGTATTGGTAAGCTGTGTGTTAAGTTTTGGAGGGATTGTTTTTGGGGGTGTCTAGTTGTAAATGAAAATGGTGATGTGTCCTTGCTTTATTGCATGCATATTAAATGTTTAGGCACAGCAATAAGTAGCGTTTTCGCTTTATTAATCAATGCACCTGAAAGCAGATGTCGAGCTGATGTAGCCTATTAAAAGTGTCGAGCAAGGTTTATTACACTTAAGCAGGTTTGGTGAACAATTTATATTTAAAACGTGTTTCACATAATGTTAAAATCTTTTTGACCTTTTATAAGCGCAAAGCTGTGTTTTTTTTGTAGACTAGAATACAGCAACTTGCACAGAATAGCCTAGTTTGATTTTTTTTTATGTTTTGTACACATCCACACTATCAAGATATTACCTTGAGTCTTTTTAAGATGTTGTTTAGTAGTTTGCTAGCACCACTATTGAGTAAAAAATGTGCAACATCCTGTCACCAATCAGCAAACTGTCTCCTTATGCTATCACTGATAACTCCGATGTAATTGTTTTGTATTGCAGGCCCCCACCAGGAGGTCCCCAGAGACGGATGGGCAGGATAAACCATGGTAGTGGACCCGGTGCACCACCCATGGCAGGGGGTGGATGAGGAAGGTGATTTCTCGTTTGCCGATATAATTACTTCACATTCAAATGTTGACATCAGTGGACAATCCCTTTGTTGAATTGCTGCAAAGATTGCAGAGTGCCTTTAAGTGGAGAAATGTTAATGATCACATTTAACATTAGACACATCTGAACCTTGACTTAAAACTTTCGTGGCTACAGGAATTCATATGCTTTGGTTATTTCGGTAAAGTCACGTAGATAGAACATTATAATAAAATAGAAAGTGAATAAATTTTTTATTCACTTTATTTTTTATTATTATTTTTCTGTCTACGTGACTTTACCGAAAGAACCAAAGAATACATTTGAACCCTATAATTTTTTAAAATCAAAACATAGAAACAAAACGGCCATTGTTTATTATCAGTACGAGACTATAACAAGTTAATGTGGTTTCCGGGAAAAAGAACACTTGGGGAAAAAGTGAACTTTGTGCAGCCATCAACCAGTTGTGGATGTCCCACATTCCTATTGTGAGAATGACTGTTGTCGACTTTACCACAAGGTGGCACTCATTGTGTAGATCCCTCGGAGAGATGAATGGCCAAGTCGATCCGTGACACGATTCGATCATACAATTCGTTTTCAAACCACATCACCTATCCCAGTGGTGGCCAATACACCAAGCACCATCTATTGGTACAAGTTATTGTGTTTTTATTGTTGAATTCTGGAATATTAAACGTGTATTGTTTAGGAAAATGGAAGGACCTAACAGTTTAGTTTTTCAATTTTTTCAGTTTCATTTATTTGGTATAGCCCTGTGAGCCATTCGGCTCTTGAATCGGGTGCAACCGCAACAAACAAAAAATTACCCCCTAAAAACAAAGTTTTTCACTATAAATCCTTTATATGCATGGCATCGGTTTCATTTTATTATTCATTTCTGTTTTTCTTGAGTAAGCAAGCAAGTGAAGTTAATATAAAGGATTTAAAAATGAAAGATCACCTCTTGACATGCCCCGTATATTCCCGAGGGCACTAGCGTTGACCCGTTTTACCACTTTCAAGAACCTGGCGGCTTCAATTTAACTGCTCTATAAATAGTCTCCATTGTACAGTGTGGGGGCAGGGATTTCATGCCATGTGGTTAGTCAACATTTGCGTCATCATGAAACGGGCGGCTACAGTCCTCTCGTCCTCTGGCTTGAGATGGCTGCCACCTATGGGTCAGATGATTATCTGCCACAATTAAGCAATTGGTAATTAAATATTTTAAAAAAATTCCCTAAACAGTGTAAAATTTTGGAAATTTTTTTTAATGAAAATTAATTGCCAAGCACAACGAGTCTGTGTGCAAAATGTCAGCTCGATTGGATCACGGGAAGTGGGTTAAAAAACGACCGAAAGATTTGCATGGTCCTAAGCAAGCACGCAAGCACGCAAGCAAGTGAACTTAATATAAAGGATTTAAAAAACAAAAACGTGAACAAGAAAACATCTTAAAGTGACTATGCGCAAACAGAAAAATCCAGGAAAAAATTGCAAAGTCTTCCAGAAAAAGCACCGTACACCAACGATGTGTGCAAATATCCCAGTGGGATGCAAGTCAAACAACAACCACAAAACAACTAGGATTAAAGCCATCAGTATAACTCCGTACTACAACAAACAAACATGGCCAAACCAAAAAACGTCGAAATCTCCAAAATAAAGCCATAAGCAGTGTAACAGTGATCATATGAACTGTGACCGAAATTTCACAATAAACGACATAAACAACATATACCACCAAACCCTGTAGCCATAGCTGGCTGCATGAATGGCTTGATGATGACATAAGAGATTGGGGCCAGAAAGATGTGGCACTGCTTGAGCATAGGGGCACAAGACAGGGGAGAGTGTAAACAAATGACGAAATCTGCAGTAGACACATTCGGGCTATCTGCCCGTGGACCGTGATGTGATGATTGTGCAACTTTGAGACATTTTATTTGCCATCAGCAGAAACAAATGTTGTTTTATACTTGTTAGCCTTTGTTCAGTTTTGTCATGAGAGCCCACAAAAAAATGTTGATCCATGTATTGACCACCTTTGCCCTAACCACTACCCCACTTGGCCATAGCGTTAAATATCAAAGGTACAAGTTTATAATTTGACATGCTTATATTTTTTTTGCAGGTAAACGCCTGTCTCAAAAGGCAGGCGCCGAGGGTGGTGGTGTCCCTGGATATAGGCGCTTGTTCACAGATGTCCTAATCACCGGGCTGTGCACGTGAACTTTGGCGCTGTGACGGGTCACTCTTCACCCTCTCCCAGGAGTTGCGCTGCAGCCGTGGCTGCCGAGTGTGACGTCCCGTTGGCAAAGCCCACCGATAGCGTGGAACCAGCGGGACTGAAAATGCAAACTCCAATCTCCCATTGTAACATCAAGTCTAAACTTTTCTGATCATTATTGTTACATCCTACCAAAAGCTTTGTCCAGTGCTGAGATGCAAAGCTCTTCAACAAAATAGCTTTTGCTTGAGGGATACCTTGGTTTGTGAGTTGATGCACTGCAACGATATAATTTTTGCTACTGAAAAGCAATGTCTCATTCATGAGCAACAATTGTAGCTCTCCGATTTTCTTTGTAACCATTAATATACTTCTTTTAAGTAAAGCATGTGGAGATCTGGCTTAAGTGGGTTCCATAATTTTGTAAAAAGAACCCAATTTATATTTCGTTATGTTAAATTTAAGAGACAACTTTGATATCCAGAAGAAACTTACTGTTTATCTAAACTCCACATATTGGTGAATCCTGTGTTAATACCACTGCAAATGTCGATTTAAAAACTTGTCAACATCCGTTCTTTCAGAAGTTTATTTACAGTTGTTGACTTAGTAAGAGGTTTCCATGGGAAAATTCACAACACCTGTCGGCAACAACGTCGGTGGAGGTAAGAGCACTGCAATGGGTTGAGTTACCTATGGGCTACCACAGTTGAACCGCAAAGGTGAGCTGGAACGCAACAGTTTTCACAGCTTGCCATTCGGGTGCGAGTTCGGTCATGTTAATCGCATGTTCACGACACATGTCCGACCCGCACCCGAACAGCAATCCGCTGCGTGGGTCATCCACGGTGACCCGACCTCTTGCAGGACTCTGGTGGGATGTAAAGCTGTCTTAAATTGGTGGTGCGGTTATAAGACACTCTAAAGCAATGACATTTACATCTTGTTGAAGCATCCTTCACTGGTTAATGTGCTCCTGTGGTTGCTGTTGCTCTTGTAGGCTATGTGGCAAATATGCCATTATAATTAATTTACAACTTTAGATGACACTTTAGAAAATAAATGTAAGTGTTACTCTTGATTTTAGTCAAAAGAGTACGATTTGGTGCTGAGGATAAATTGGTACCAATGGTCTTGCCTTTTGTGGGGACGATGGAAAATTACAAATAGCTTGTTCATGCTTATGGTTCATGAGGACTGTAACCTCTGTGCAATAAAACATTTACCTTTTTAAAACAAATTAAATGTACACGAAAGTTGAAACTGTAATCTTGGGGTTTCATTCCTTAAGCAAAAACGTTATTCCTGCAACAAAATCCCATGTAATTTGCACACGTTTTCAAAAGCTAGCCAGGTGCAGTTTCAGCACGGACGGAACTTGAGTCAAGGCATAGCGCTGGAGGGAGTCATGGGCTCCATTTGGCGTCAGATTTTGTTCGTATCGGTAATGGACAGGAGCGGGAGTGTGAGATGAGGGTCACGAACATGGGTCCCACACTCTCGACATGTTGCGGGAAGAGAAAGGATGGGGGTCTGTGATGATGGTCGGTGTTCCTCTTAATCTGCTTCGAGGAGTAGTGGGAAGGGATTGGAGGCCTTTGATGGGGGCTCCGTGTTGGAGCTCTGGCCATGTCAATATCCGAGGAGGCGTGCACATGAGAGGTGGGAGTCTGTCATGGAGGTTGTTAACATCGTTCCATCTCTGTATTAAGACAGGATGAGTATGACTGCCCTACAGCCCATGTACCAGAAGTTCTAGATACCAGATTACTAATGTAGAGGTGATACGCGCTGGGATTAAGGATCGTATGCACAGTGCGTGATGATTGGCTGTGTAGGTGGTGACGCGCGCTGACGGTGGAGGATCAGGGGTCAGCGCGGGGTCGTGGGTTACGGGGTACCGATTGGCTGTGGGCGGTGACGCGCTGAGAGGGAGTGATCAGGTGGCAGCGCAGTGTGATTGGTGGAGTAATGTTAACACGCGCTGGGGAAAGCGGATCGTAGAGAGAGTGCGTCGTGATTGGGTCATTAAGGAACGACGCTCACGTCGACGCCGCATCAGCTCCGGCCCTCGTGAGCAGGGGCTATAAAAGGGGATGCACACAGGCGTAAGGGCAGTGTGTAACCAGCGAAGAAGGAAGACGGGGATGAAGACCTAGAGCCCTGCGGTACCTAGCCCCGCTGTCCTAAGGGGACCGGGACTCTGTGTAACCCAGAGGCGAGTGTAGGGGGTGTAGCCATAGGTCTACACGAGCCGAATGTACTATGTGTAGCCAGGGCATAGGGCTTACACGAGTCGAGTGTATTGTGTAGCCAGAGGCATAGGGCTTACACGAGTCGAGTGTATTGTGTAGCCAGAGGCATAGGGCTTACACGAGTCGAGTGTATTGTGTAGCCAGAGGCATAGGGCTTACACGAGTCGAGTATATTGTGTGTAGCCAGAGGCATAGGGTCTACACGAGTCAAGTGTATCGGGTGTAGCCAGAGGCCTAGAGCTTACACGAGATTAGTGGAGTGTGTCGGAGGAAGAAGAGAGACCACACGTTGTATTGTGATACCTAAAGGATTTAATAAAAGTGTGTTACCCGTCAAGAAGTTCCTGCCGTCAATTCCCATACTTCAACTGGCGTCAGAAGTGAAACGGTCCTCCAAGCATGGATATGTAACGTAGTAACTCGGCAGGAGACGACTTCACGGGTAGCACACTCTTTATTTTCACCAACTTGTAGTTACACGGATGACTAACACCCTACTTCGTTACACGGGTGACCAACACCCACTTAGCTACACGGGTGACCAACACCCACTCAGCTACACGGGTGACCAACACCCACTCAGCTACACGGGTGACTAACACCCACTCAGCTACACGGGTGACCAACACCCACTCAGCTACACGGGTGACTAACACCCACTCAGCTACACGGGTGACCAACACCCACTCAGCTGTACTGACACGGGCTCTTACGCCCTGTAGCCTTCCGGGACACACCCAGCCGGGGTGCCCGTCTCGGCTCTGGGTACCACCGTCCCGACCCACACGGGCGTCGGACTACGGTCCCCCCAGTCTCGGCTCCGAGCCACACAGGGCCCCTACCTCCTCCACCCCGTCTTCGGTCTTCAACTGGTTAACACTGACCACGAGTGCTCTCGCGCGTCCCCCTTTATACCCCTCCTGCGGACGTCGCTGAGAGTACTCACTTATCTGACCAATCACTGCGCACTCGCTACGATCCTCTTTTCCCAGCTTGTGTGAGCGCGCCTCACCACCGGCGCGCGCGTCCCTGCCACGCCCACACCGCGTGCCCAACCCCGCGCCCCGTGATCCATCACTCCCGGCGCACGTCAATACCACCACTACATCACCCCCTACCACATAGCTCGCAGCCGACCCGGCTGCTAATAAAACATACAACACCCCTTCACCCCCCACGTGTGCCCCGTAACATAACACAAACCCTAACAACACAACATGAACACCGCAATCCGCAAAACCCAGCAACCGCCACACCCGCAACAAGAACAACATGCACAATCCGGCGAATGGCAACGATACTGTGTATGCGGAAAGAGTAACAATAAAAAAAAAATTTCTTTAATCATTTTCTCTTCTTTTCTCTCCGACTCATGCAGCGTCCCGATGTCCGAGCGTCCCTTGAACGGGACATTACCCCGGCAGAGGGGGAAGCCGGCAACGAAGTCGGGCTTTAACAAAAAAAGAAATTTTTTTTTTTTTTTCATGAAAAGTGTTGCGTCCTTGACCGAGTCCGCCTTGCCGGACCGTCGTACGGCACAGGACGCAGTTGGCCATCCACAGGATTGTGGCTGCGTCGGCCGGGTCGTCCGTGGTAACGGGGTACATTGACGGGGTTGAGGTCCGGGTGCTCGTGGACACGGGTGCGTCGGCCACTATTATTTCGGACCTTATTTATAATATTCTTCCCGTACAATGTCGACCACCTCTGCCGGTGGACGTACCATTTTACGCGGCAAACGGGGGATCTTTGGGAATCATCGGCCAGATTCGGGCGAATATTTGTATTGGCGACATTAAATTGGCGGGTCCTATTTTTGTATCATCATCGTTGGCCGTTCCTTGTTTACTAGGCACGGACTTTCTGTCTAAAATGCCCATAAAAATTCTCATAGACCAGGCCTGCATTGAGCTTCCGTCGGGTCGGCGGGTTGAGTTTTTGAAGAGTCCAAATAAGATACGCACGGCTTGTGCGACGGTGCAGGCGCTGGCAACCCGGACTGTACGGGTGCCCCCGGGATCGCAAATGTTGGTACCCCTTCGGTTGAGAAAACAACTGGGGGCGGATGCGGGGGCGCAGGGAGTTCTATTGGGGCCGTCTAACAGGGCTAAAGGGGACCTCGGCTTAGCGGTGGCCCAGACCATGGTGAGGGGGGACAGTGAGCCGTTCGTTGTGGTCCTGAATACGGGGTCGCGGCCGGCCGTGATTACGCAGGGAACGGTGCTCGCTCACGCCGCGCCGCTACCCGTCGAGGAACAGCTCGTTGCTCACGCCGATTCACATGTCGATACGCATCCCCAAAGTGAGGAGGGGACGGAGTGGTTGGACGCGTTGTGTGCCGGGTCCAGTACCTTGTCCAGTGTGCAGTTGGGTGCATTGAGGGGCTTGCTGCTCGAGTTCGCTGACGTGTTTAGCAGGCACAAGTACGACATTGGCTGCACAGACCTGTTGCGCCACCACATAGAGACTGGGGACGCGGCCCCTATTCGACAGAATCCCTTCCGGCTCAGTCCAGCCGAGAAGGAGCATGTGCAGTCGGCAGTAAATGACATGTTGGCGGCCGACATCATTGCGCCCTCTTCCAGTCCGTGGGGTGCTCCTATCGTCTTGGTTAAAAAACAGGATGGATCCCTGCGGTTCTGTGTTGATTTCCGCCGCCTAAACAAAATATCAATGGCCGATGCGTATCCGCTCCCCAGGATGGATGAGTCGCTGGATGCCTTGGCAGGAGCACAGTTTTTTTCGACGCTCGATTTGCTTTCGGGATTTTGGCAATTGCCCCTCGATGACGAATCAAAACCTAAAACCGCTTTCCGGACACCGGGAGGCCTATTTGAGTTCAACCGATTGCCCATGGGTTTACATTCCGCTCCTGCCACGTTCCAGAGGCTCATGGAATTGGTTTTGGCAGGCCTTCAATGGGACACCTGTTTGATTTACCTCGATGACATCATCGTTTTCAGCCGAACTTTTGAGGAGCACCTCCAGCGACTGAGGGCAGTGTTTCTCAGGATGCGTTCCGCGAAGCTTAAATTTAAACCGGCTAAATGTTTTCTGCTTCGGGAATCGGTCAGGTATTTGGGCCATATCGTTAGCCGTTCGGGGATCTCGACGGACCCTGCTAAGACGCAATGCGTCGGCTCATGGCCAACACCGACCTCTGTTACTGAAGTCCGCAGCTTCATAGGATTTGCCTCCTATTACCGTCGTTTTGTCAAACAGTTTGCCACCATAGCCAGGCCCCTGCACGCCTTGACGGCTAAAGGGGTGCGGTTTCACTGGGGGCCGGAGGAGGAGGCCGCGTTCTGCTCCCTTCGTGACGCCTTGGTGCAGGCTCCCCCCTTGTGTTACCCCGATTTCACGCAACCGTTTGTGCTCGACACGGATGCCAGTAACTCCATCTCGTCCGCCGCATTAATGGGAACTCCCAATCCGTGGGCCAGCGCCAGCAGCTGCTCCGTCACCATGGCGTCCTTCCCCTCCTTGTCCATGCGGGGAAAAGCTGAATCCGCCAGGGCGAGCAGCGCCGTGCGATAGGCGAGCGTTGTTTCTCCAACCACCTTCCGCCGATCGTAGAACTGGTGGCGACAGGTCGAGGGCGGCCCGAACACCTTGGCCAACAGGTGCAGCGCGGCCTGGAGCGTTGAGCGGGACGACCTCGGGGCAGACGTGAAGGCCGCAAGCGCGTCGTCGTCGAGCATCGCTGGCAGCGCGCGCAGGGCCGTGGTGTCGGACCACCCCGACATTTCTTGATGCGCGATGAACCGTCGCTGGAAGGCTCCCCAGTCGCCCCCGTCCGCCTTGAACACCGACAGCGCGGGCAATCGTTGCTGGAGAACTCGATCGTCGTCGTCGTCGTTGGAACGATTTTCCCGCGCGCTGCTGTGGTTGTAGAAAATGTCGGCTCCCTCTGCAGGCGCAAAATGGAGAGCTCCGGCGCTCGCCGATGACGCGGGCTGCGCTGTGTGGAGACCTCTGGCCACGTGGTGTCCGCGTTTCCCGCCAACCGGAGGCGGACCCTCAAAAATGGCGCCAACTCCCAAACTTTTGGCGCGAAACGCCTTATGGCGGGAACCCTCCAGCCGCGCCGCCTCTTCCAACCCCGCAGGCGTTCCACCGACCGCTGGAACGGAGATCTCCGCCAAGATCGCAGCGGCGGCGAGCAGCAACTCCGCCAGGCGGGAGTGTGCGTCCTGCAGGCTGGTGTCGGAGGCGGGCGGAGCATCGGCCATTTCCGCGAAGTGCTGCATCGGCGGCAACCCCTCGTCTTCTCCTCCCGAGGGTGGTGTCACCGGTACGTCGTCGTCTCCCCGGTCTTGCACGTGGGAACGAGAAGTCTTCCTTGTGTCCATTCTCCTTGAAGACAGGTTTACTTCTGACGCCAGTTGTAACGTAGTAACTCGGCAGGAGACGACTTCACGGGTAGCACACTCTTTATTTTCACCAACTTGTAGTTACACGGATGACTAACACCCTACTTCGTTACACGGGTGACCAACACCCACTTAGCTACACGGGTG